CTAATTGAGTATAAAATTAGGAAAAAGAAATGTGGGTTTTTTCCATGTCCACAGTGTTTTGCAAGGGGGGAGGGAAATGATGTCATGTGGAAGACTGGGAAGAAAATTAGAATATGAGGAAGTGCAGCAGTTGAGAATCATGGACTAGCTGTGGCTGGCAGGGAGATCTAATCCCACCTGCCTGTGGTTGTGTCCAGATGGATTTGGAGCATCTCCAAGGATGGAGACTCCATCACCTCCCTGGGCAACCTGGTTTAATCTCTCTCACTTGGGGTGGTGCAGGGGGAGGGGTGTGGAGGACCTGGGGGTGGCTGCTCCTGTGTGTGGGGTGACACAAGACTTCTTTTAGAGCCAGAAATGGCATAATTAATAAAAAAAAAGGGTGGAAAAAAGTTCCAAAGGGCAGCTTTATTTATAAAACACCTACTGCAGCTGTTTGTCATTGCAGGCAGCAGCTTTCTTGCTTAATTGCTGGTTTATTTAGGAAAGCACAAAGTTTGTTTGTAGACCAGACTTTTTGGCAAGTTTATTATGAAATACAGTGTAGTACAAATTCTGTCCCTTTTAAATGAACTAATTACAATGGAAACTTAAACAGATGTTTGTGTTTATCTGTGGAGATGAAATCTTGATGCAAGACATTTTCAGTCCAACATTAATTGACTTAATAAATGCTTGAAGTGTAATGAGAGTTCCTTACAGCTTTAAAAAAAGCTGGTTTTGCCTCTTTTTTTTTCTTTTTTTTCTTTAAAAATAGAATGATGGGAATCATAGAATGGTTTGGGTTGGAAGGGGTTTCAAAGATCATCTAGTTCCAACACCCTGCTAAGGGCAGGGATGCCACTCACTAGAACAGGTTGCTCAGGGGCCCATCCAACCTGGCCTTGATGTGAAGGATAAATAAAGGAATGAAAATTAGTGAGCAGTATATTTATTTTTAAATTTAATAAGCATATTAATATATTGAATTATTTCTCTTATCTCTGAGTTTTCTTGGAAATAAGGATAATTACAAAAAAGCTCTAATCTGTTATGTATTTCCCCCCTCACAATGTATCTGGTGCTGCAGCAAAACTCTCCTGTACAGAACAGTAATTCAGCAAGTTGGATGTTGAAGGCTGCGAGATGAATGGTGGGAGTTCAAGGCACCACGTATAACAACTGAATTAAGCACAATGCACAGTTATGTAGTAAGTCTAGTGTTATTTTTGGAAGAGGATCTTGGAGAAACAGGATATGTGACAAGTTATGAAAGTCTGTCATTTCATAGCTCAGAGGAGGCTCCAGAATGTCACAGAAACACCACAGTGCTGGTGCACGGGGGCTCACAGGGGAGAGCTTTGCCTTCTCCCTCATCTTTCTTCTGCTGTTTACACCTGTCAGAACCAGACTGGTTCAGCCAAAGAAATAGGTGGAATGTTTTCAATTGGTGTAACTGAGCACTCCCTTCCAAAAACCAACCTGAAGTCACGTCTCCTGCAGGAGGGGAGGTCGTGTGTCCACGGCTGGGTCATCCTCAGTTGGCTACTGAGTGTTCCACTGAAGGAAAAGTAAAATCCAGCAGCCACTCTGCCCTGTCCAAACTGCTCCCTAGATTCGGAAAGAAATTCTGTTAGAAGTGAGATGGGGTTTCTCCCTGGAAAGACAGCCTTAAAAAGGTGCCAAATCACTGAGTATAAATCACAGACGTCTTTCTCGCTGGTTTTTTTATTGGTAGGTGGGATAGTGGGAGAGCAACGGCACTTCTAGAAGTTTCATTCATGTTTCAGGTGTATTTATATGTTTTTATTTTCACAGCTGTGGACTCTAGGAAGATTGATTTGCTACAGAATTGGGGAATAGTAGTCTTAAAAATTAGCAGGTTTTGGCAATGTGTCCTTCAGTAACGAACCAGGAGTCTGAGAGTGAGCGCACGCCTGTGGGTTGTGAGGCTCTCTGGTTTCTATGGGATTCCTACAGAAGGATTCCAAACTTCCTGCTGTCAGAAGCCTGTAGTTTTGTGCTGGCACAAAACAGAAATATTCTGGTAGGAAGTGGGGTCTAGGATTTCTTTTAAAGCTGGTGACTTGATGTGCACAGTGCAGGTAGCTGGTTCCGTGCCCAAGTGTTACTCCTGTTGGTCGGTCCCCTTATAATCCTGATGTTTTCCTGTTGTATGAAGATGCTGGTAATTTTGTTCAAGATGATGGATTGCTCTAGAGAGTTTTTGTTTCTTTTAAAAAACTGCTCTGTAATGCAGATATTCCTTTTGCAGTTTCACAATTTCTTAAGCTGCTTGAAATCGTCCCAGGGTTGTGTTTCAGCTTGGCGAGATTTTCAATTGTAGGACTGCCATGGCAGTATTTGATGGCTGGATTAAATCAAGTGGGGCTGTAAAATACTTCTCTCCTTCCAAAACAGCAATGAGAAGTTAGCCCGACACTGAATGGCAGCTCTTTTGCAAAAGCAGTTAATCTTTATAGTACGTTCCTTAAAAATATGTAAATGTGCTCAAAAATTGGCAAGTGTAAGTTTAGTGGTGATTAAGTGAAATCATAAGTTACACTTTATAATATCTTTCAATCTCTTTTTCTGCTTTCCCTGGGCAGTAGCAGAGTTTTTTCCTAGGGTGCCAAGTTTAGTTTATAAATTGGAAATGTGTAAGGAAAGAATGTTCTCTGCACTGACTCACTCTGGTGTCTGGTCTTTATTCCAGGCCGTATTGATGACAAAGTATGCTATGAATTTAGAACATCTACAGCCCTGCAGAGGTGGCAAATTGCTTTCTGCTTTACTTCCAGTGTTTGCATGCTCATCAGGCTTGCCTCTTGACCTCTTCTACACCAAGTTGCTCTAGCACAGCAGAGCAGTGGCACAGATGTGCTCTTTCAGACAGGAATGCAGCCTTTCTGGGGTATCAGTGTGTAAAACTTTCCTGCTTTCCTCCCTGTGCATTCAGAAGTATGAGTTTTCTTGATTTTTGAATTTTTTCTATTAACCCTGAGAGCTTATGTAGATGATAAACCTTTAAAATACCATCCACAGACTGAAAAAAAAAAACCCAACACCTCTGTTTGTGGTTTTTGTATGTGTTGGTTTCATGTAAACCAAATCAGAAATCACTTCTGTTAAAAATAAAACCTAAAGTAAAGTATCCTCGTGGTCTTTAATCTCAGAATGGGAAGGCACCAGCATGAGAAATTGGAAGAAAAGCCATGTGAGTGCTTTTGGGGTCAGTATTGCATCTGACCTAAAGCCTTGTTCCCTTTTGTTCTTTGGGAAGCAATCCATTCACTCCTGTGGGATGTACATCCCTGCTCCCTTGGAGCAGCAGGCTGAGCAGCTTCCCTCACATCTTGAGGTTATTTTATAGGACTGTTTTGCGTCTGGAAATGACAGTAATAGTTGCAGGTGGAGGATGGGGAGCAAGGGATACTAAACTTTGACAGCACGTACGTTTTTAAACCGCATTTTTCTTTTCTGTGGTGATTTTTGGTCTTCAGCAAATGGATGAGCGAAGCCCAGCTACCCCCAGCACTGTGGTGCAGCTGGGACTGCCTGGAGCTGGGCTGTGCATTACTGGGGCTGTGCTCATGTTGTGGTGCTTATGTTTATGGCTTAGGTCAGTGGGAGTCAGTATTGGAACCTTTTTGATTATTCAGTTACCCTTTTCAGTGTTACAGGTGTCTCCAACTACTTTTGCTTCAGTTGCTTTCTGCATTTCTTTCCATTACCAAGCCAATGGACACAGTGCTGAGTGAGGATTCAGAGAGCTTCTTGTCCTCACATCCCAAAATCTGGTACCCGTTGGTGGATCTGTCACTTGACAAGTACACAGACAGCCCAGTAAGGAAGTTTCCTTCCCTACTCCAACATTTTATTTTTGTTATTTGTGCTGGGAACTGAGTTAGCTCCCGAAATAAGTGGCTTGGGTGTTAGACTCTGAGTAGGTCTGTGACAAAAATTTTTTGTCATGCACAATGATGTGCATAAGTGCTCTGTATGTGGGATTTGGTTATGCCAGATGGTGTATCAGTGCCTCTGAGAGCTCTGCAATTAATTGGTTTTGTTTCCTGCATCTCTCTTGACTGGGACAACCAGACAGTGATTGCTTCCCTCTCACCAGTGAGATTCAGGACTAAATAAAACTCTATTACACACCTAGGGCAGCAAATTATTTCCACAGGCCTCTACAAGTGTTTTTTTTTCTTGAAGGCAGATGATGAGTGTAGGAGAGGGAAACATGTCTGCAGAGAAACCTTGGTGTCCCTTATGCAGCTTTACAATGAATAAACTCACAGCAATAATTCTGACAATCTTGACCTGGAAATTTGGGTTTATTGCTACATAAATATGCGCTTGGTTTTGGAGTTGTTATCTTTGCTCTGGGTAATTGTCTGCAGATCCATCAAAATCCTAAAAATAGCAGCTGATAAGATATGGGACATGCTCTTCATTTTTTATTAATCTGAGGTGATGCCATCAAAATAGTAATTACTTTTCCCTGGATTAATTTTATGGCGCTTGAATCTGGAGATTTTTTCCTTCTTTCACCTTCACCTTTTTCTTACTGGAAATATATTTTAAAACTTTAGGTAAATTTAATTCTTTCGTAACTGCTTTTTAATTTCTCTGTAGATTTGAGCACATTTCTCATCTCAGCTGGCATGCAGTTCAATTATGTGACTTCCACAAAACTCGAAAAAAACCCTCTAGGACTGTGCTTGGGCTTTCTCCAAAAGTTGTTTATGTTTTCGCCCTCTAAAATACCTTTGTGCTATTGCAGTATTGTTATCTATCTGTACAATTTTTTGCTAGTCAACTATTTTAAGATCATTATTCCTCTTGCTGCCACGACACTGTGTTGTCACATACGTCTATTTGTTGCGTAAGCAACTGGCATTGTGATTTTAATGGAAGTCTTACGAATTTGAGGTGATGTCTGGGCTGGAGTGGGCCGGAGAGCTGAGGAATGTGGGGCTGGAGGAGGCTCTGGGAGGCAGGAGGAGGAGGCTCTGGGAGGCAGGAGCTGTGTCCTGCGGCAGCCGCTGACATTCCAGTGCCATCCCGACAGTGTTTGGTGTTCCCCGCTGGGCGCGGGTGGAGGGCACGGAGATGGGTAATTAAACTTTGAACCGAGGAACCCCCGGGTTTTGAGGGGCCGGGGCTTTGAAGAGCAGGAGATCACAAGAACAATTTCCTGTTGGTTGCTTTGCTTCAGCTGCAGCTCCATGCGGAGCTGGATTGGGAGCTCAGCCTGAGCCCCTCCTGGCCCCGGCAGCAGCCGGGTTGTTGTGTGCTGAGCAAATATGGCACATAGGACACGGCTCCATCCCTTTGGGACCTGGGGTCAGACTCATTAAGGGCTTTTCCTACCCTGAATGGGGTGATTTGCACTGTAGTATAATCTATTGCTCTTCAAAAAATGTTTGGTTTCTCTTTTGGTAAAGGTTGCAAAGTGAAATTTGCCTTCATTACATCGTTAGGATTGACACCTATAGTCATACAGTTAGAAGAACCCACACCCTTTCAGTATTTTATCTTGGGGCAAAATTGGGAGAAAATTAGACTAAAAATATTAGAATTCAGTCAGAGTTTTTGATAGTAATGTAACTGCTTTAATCCTAAAAATGAAGTTTTATATACGAAAGTGTTGCCTGACAGTCACTTAGCAGGATCCCTGTCAACTATTCAGAGCTCATCACCACTAGTATTTCTCTAATACTGTCCTGCTAACAGAGTAATAGCCCAGGAGTGATTGTACAGACAGTGAAATACCCTCTCAAACATATACACTGTGCATGTAGTTTTATTTATATGTATATACACAGACACATATGTATGCACAGGCTTTATAACACCTCTTACCTGAAAATGTCAGGACTGAAGGTCAATCTGCTGAGTGCAGCAAATGCACTATTAATTCTTTTTGGATCCAAGTGGAGAATATTTGTTTGCTGCTGTCAGTTTTGAGGTTATATGTATTACTCACTGTCAGGAAGCTCGTTCTCCAAATAATAAATAGATCTGTCATAAAAATTCTAACCTACCTTAAAAATATGTTGTAGGAAAAACAATGTTTTTATAGATTAGCACATCCTTCTTGCTGACTTTGTGAAGGAATTTGAGGGTACACAGTAAACTTTTATTAAGAATTTATGGTTTCCTGGCTCACATTTACTGTGTATTGATAAGAATAATCTCATTGTTTTAACACAGCTCTATTGGCTTGTATTCTTTTCTCTGCCTTCCATTGGTGGTTTTTTAAACGAGCCAAAAAGAAACAATATCCCTGGGGAAGACTTGGGAGCAGAAGGTAAAGTTCAGAAGCAGAAAATTGTTTTCTTGTAGGGGACAGCACCTGGCTGACCCTTTGTTGTTTGAATGTGGCCTGAAATTCTTTGTGGTTTGAGTGTAAAACCTTTGCTGCCATTGCCCTCTGGCAATTGGCAAGTCAGTGCCGAGCTGGAGATTTTTCCCTTTCAGAACATGAGCAAGTGGGTGGTGGTGGCTGCAAATGTCCTCAACTTTATCCCTCTGAGAAGGGAGCAGGCAGGGAAAATCAGGCAGATGAGAGTAACAGTAAGATTTTACCATGGGGGATGTCTTGTGCCATGATCCACCTGAAAATATCTATTTTCTTACTGCATGTCCAGTATCTGGGGTGGAATGGGAGAATTTCACAGCCCAACTGAGTGGGGGTTTCTTTTTTTTTTCCTTTTTTTTTTTTCTTTTTAACTTCAAGGCAAAGTGTGACCTTCTAATGCCTTTTTAACCTCTGAGCACTTTTTCAGCACAGAAGCAATTTACTGGCAAACAGTAATTAACCTGCAGGGAAACACATCCTTGAGTTTTATTGTATCTCAGTATATGGGTCAAATTAATAACAGTGCAGAGGTATCATCTGTGGCATTTGAAAATACCAGTAGAAAAAAAAAATCAGCAGATTTAATTTAAAATGGATATGTTCAAAGATGTAAGGAAGAAAGCTCATTTAAGGGAGCAGTGATGTTTTGAATTAAAAACCTTTTAGAGGTTTTCAATACAGTTTTATTCTTTTGAGATGGTGATAGCCACTCAGGTGAAGGTTTGGAGTTATTCAGGTTTTTGTTTGGTCAGTATGTGACTTTTCAGAGACAGCTTGTTAGTGTAATCTGACTTTTGCCTTTGGTATATATGAACAGAGGACAGATTTGCTGTTATTTATGAAGGAACAGAAACCCCAAAAAAGTGAATCACTAAATTTCCAAAACCTAATATTTTCCAAGCCTATTACTAAGTGTTCAGAAGAACTAACATACTGTTCTCTACCTGGCTTTGGGCACGAGGAGATTGACTTAGAGGGGAAAATGAGAGTGAATCAGAACATAGAGATTAAGTGAAACAGCATCGTAGTTTTTCGAATATGAGCTGTTGAACAGGTTGAAATCAGACATGGGGGTTTGTAGGACGCTGAACTGGGGCCTCTCTCTGAGGATGTGCCCAATGGACCTCACCTGTTCCTGGGTTTTTGTTCTTTAAAGCACTTTGGCATCCCCTCTGGTGCACAAGCAGGGAGTCTGAAGGTAATAATGAACCAACAGGTCTTTTGAAATGACTGATGATCTTCCTAACAGGGAGAACAAGAAGAAAATGGTGGCGGGAGGGCAGAAAGAAATCTAAATTCACTCAGTGGTTTTTTACTACCTGAGAACCCTCTCCCAAGCTATTTATAAAATATTAGTTTGCATTACACAGCTGAAGGAATTCACAAAATGCTAAAGCTGTGACTAAACCCAGGCTGTTAGGGTTTTTCCCTTTGGTGCTCAGAGAAATGGGAGCTGAGGGAATTGACAGTGAAACATTGCGAGTTTGCAGCAGGAATGTAACTAAGAATTGATATTTTAAATGAGGCGGAAGGGAATTAAACCCAAACACAAACTCCAGTGCCATTACCCCAGTAATGTATGGAATGCACTGCTCTGGGAGAACTCCTTCCCTTTACCCCTCCCACCCCATCCTCGAGTCCTGCAACTCTGCAAAGGTCAGCTCTCAGAAAAGCTGGGAAAGATGGTAGGAAAAAGCCAGGGCTGGAAACTCTGAAGAAGGGCCTTTGAAAGGGGATCATATTTGTTCTCTGGGCCACACAGCATTAGGAATTTCCATAAGGGTGAAAGAATTTACAATGTGCAGCCTATGCATAACCAGCTCCTGCAGCCTGTAAAACTCGGCGTGTTTTTCCAGTAGTAGGAGCTCCTGTAGGAATCCCTGCTCTCCTCCCAGCCTGCTGCAATCCTGGCAGTCCAGTGCTCTGTGAGAGAAATCCTGGGGTGCTGTGCCCTGGCAGAGGTCCCTGTGTTAGTACACAAATCAGAAAACTCTGTCCTGTGTAACAGATTAGCCAGGATGGAATTGTGATGTCCACCACCATAACATAAGCTGACCACAGCAAAACTTCCAAGTTAAATGCAGATTTTAAAGTTCTATTTTAATGCATGGTTACTTTTCACATTCCAGGAGTGTGTTTAGTAGGAACAAAATGTTTTGGGTTTTTTTTAAACTTTATTGGAACATCTTGAGTAATAACAGTAAACATGATAACAAATTATTCTTTACTGCAGTGGTGTTTCCAAGAATGAGAGGTAGAAAATATTTGAGGTGAATGTGTGCCCTTCAGTTTATAGAAGTGAAGAAACCATGTCCCAGATTTCATATCTACACTGTGCCCCTCTAGTCTTGCTGGTACTGCTAATCCAGCAGGAGAACTGAGTATTTGGCCTAAAATGTCATAAAGGTCACGCTAAGATTCACTGACATAACCAGTAATATACTTGAAATCTAATTTCCAGAGCTCCCTTTAACGTTGAGACCAAGGCATTTTCCTCCTGTCACTATTCCTGAGTGAGTGGATCTTTGTGTCAGTGAGCTCCTGCCTTTCCACAGATGTCATGGAGTTCTTGTCCTTAAAAGCTGCTTCTTCCTCATCAGCCCTAATGGTAGATTTTCAGTTTGGTGTTTGCATTAGGGTTGTTAGGAAGGATTTAGATGATTCTTTCAGTCTGTAGTTGTGCTCCAGATGGGTGCCTTCTTGCTGCACCAGAAGGCTCAGTGCTTTCCCCAGAAGGTTCCAGCTGAACCAGAACGTGGCAACCAAGGCCAGGGACACAAGAGATGATATTTTTTGCTGGTTGGGCCCAGTTCTCCCCTCTCCACTTTGAAAAAAAACCAAGAAAATAAACAGCAGGGCATAGCCCCTTGTCATGCACTTACTGCGTGGGGATGGCAGGGAATGATCCTTCATTAGCACATGTTGGAGATGGGAATATACTGTGGAATTATCCAGCTGTGGCTTTGGTTTGGTGGAACTAGGGAAGATTTCAGTCACAGGAACTGCTCACCTTCTGATTAAATAGATCAAAGCATTGGCCTTTTCAGTGCACTGTATAACAGTGCACGAGGTCCAGAAGAAAAACACTAATTTTTCAACCCAGCAGAATACAAAGGTCAGGATATTTTTTGAGTTTGTACTGCTCCAGTTCTGAAATGCTTTGTAGTGAGCTGTGGTGCTGTGGTTTCAGAACAGAGCAGTTATTCAGGCTCAGTAACATGAAAAGAGTTTTACGAGGTTGAGTATAAAGAAGCGTTTCCAAGTTATGCTAGGAAGGCAGATATAATTACTTTTCAGACTGTTCTCAAAAAAAAAAATCATTTGAAATCACAGATTGATAGATATAACTTCTTTTTTTCATAAATAACACCATTCTGCAATAAAAGTGCAGTCAGTTGCTTCAGTGATTAAATCTCTGAAACTGTTTAAAGGCTCTGGAATGGCTTTGTATTAGGAAAAATAACAGTCTTGCATGGGTAAGTTTGGCTTGTTTGGGATAGCTCCTATCAAAAGCTTCATTAGCTTTACTGGTGATAGTAATTTGACTGCAGCACATGCCAGTTTGAATGATGTTGAAATTCAAGACTGGATTTAGGCTGCTGAAAGCAATGAGTCACTGTACAGAACTGAGGTGGTGTGAAAAGCTTTGCTGTGTTTAAAAGCATTTTATAAGTTGGAGGACCCCTGTGTGATGGTTGTAGGTGGATATATGATCACGTGAGCTTATTTCAGAGATTAGGTAGTATTTTCAAAATGTAATTTTTGATTCTGCAGCTTTATCCTGTAGTAAGATTAATGAAGAACACAGTGATTTTGAGTGTCATCCTCTAACAATATTTTCAAGGGAAGTAGTGAGTGGGGTCCTGTCACGTTTCCTTTTGGCTCATAGGAGTGCTAAGAAATTCTAGGACGTATAAAATGGAATATATAATTCCACCTCAGTTTTTGAAATTTAATTATGTAAGAGGATTTAAAAACCTTGCCTTGGAATTATCAGGCTGGCTGATTTGAATCAAAGTAGTGCTATATGCTGCTACAAGTGTGCTGCAAAGAAAAGGGGAGATAAATCTCAGTTAAGAAAAAATCCGATACCTGATCCAGCCTTTAAATGTGCCTAAGTGATATATTCATCTTGAGCATGGTCTTGCTTCTGATAGTTTTTGTCCTGTGGTTTATTTTTCAATTGCTAAAGCTATTCCAGATGCCAGAAGTGTCAAACAGACAAAGCAGTGATTCCAGTCGACATAAATTCAGATTATTGATTTAAGGGGTCAGTAGCAGCATAAAAATACGTTATATATTTAATGTGTGAACTGACATATAAAGTCTTTGAGTGGCGTTATTTTGGTGATGGGCAAATATTTAGTCTAGTTTGAATTAAAAATCCATCATTTTTCAAGCTAAGTTAGGTAGAAGTGTTTGTAAATATTAGTTAAAAATTAAAAAAAAAGTCAGAAAGGAGTATGAACTGCCAGATTTTGTTACAGGGACTGGGGACATAAGAACCAGTGTGTTCCTCAAAAATTCATCTTTTCAAGTCTGGCTTCTGGATTTATGGTTGAAGAGAAAGTAAAACACGAGTTATGGGTTGATTGATAGGAAACTCCAGGCCATGGCTGCAGTACAGGCAGCACTGGCAGCTGAGTCAGTGGAAAAGCTTTTTCACCATCATGTGTATTCCTTTTCTTTACAGGTGTGTTTAGCCAAAGATTTTCTTTCACTTGCCTTTGCTCTAGGAGTTTTTGTCCAGTTCTTGTGCTGTCAGATGTAAGACATTGCTGCCCTCTGTAACGTTGAGTCAGGGCCTCTGGGGTATAAAAATAAAGTAGAAAACGATAATAGTATTTATTTAGAAAAAAATTATCTAGTGTTGATCATGGTTATCTCCTGAGAATCTGTAGCAGATGAACACATCTTGTATGAGTGGCCTGTGAATTGAAAGCTATTCCATATAGGATTTATTGATATTAGATGAGTAGTGAGCACTGAAGTCAAGGCCTTTGTGTCAGGAATCACCCACCATTGCTGCTTAGACTGCAGGTATCTCTAGTGGTCTGCAGAAAGCTTTTGAAAATCTCCTGTAGCCTAAGTGCTGGAAGTATTTCAACATCACCACTCCTGAGAACTTGGTCTTTGGATTGCATCCCCCCGAAAGCTTCAGTTAGAATTAAACAAATGGCTTTAGCTTTAAAATATGAACTCATAAAATGAGTATAATGGTTGGAGGCCCCACCACCACCACACACACTTTTAATTAAGTGACTGTGTTGTTTCCAGATGAGAGGAAAGATGACTCATTTGGGGACTTTGAATGATCTCTATTTTGCATTGAAAAAGTAAAAAGTTAAATTCAAAATGGTTACTTCAAGTTGCACATTAGCACCTGCACCACAATTGGATATACTGTGTCTCAAAGTAAAATGTTTTAGTCTGATTTTTTTTTTCCCCTAAAGCTTAATTTCTGGAGTCCAAACCCAACTTTTTAGGTTTAATGAAGTTCTAACCTTATAAAAGCAGGGTTTTATCATGGAAAATGCCTGGTTTCCACCAGGAAAATGTACTTACACCTTCCAGTACCAGCGTGAGAGGTATTAGGAGTCATGAGTCTTAAAATAGAAAGAAGGAAGCAACTTTAATCAATACAAGGCACTGCACTGGGATTTAGAAAACTTGGTTTGTTTATAGATTTGCTGGGGCTTAACTGTGTGGTCACAGGCAAAAATCTATTATTGATAATTGTTGCTGCATCATTATTTACTCTTCTTCCATTGATACCTTAGTGTAGAGCATCTCCTTGGCTTACACCAAGTTGAGTTGGAATCTCTGCTCTTGGTATAAAATGACAACAAATGCCAAATCTGAAACACTCCAAGTTGCTGCAGAGCTGCAGCTTTTCTGCTGGAATACAGAGAAATACCTGGAATCAAGGTTTGGCTTCTGGGAAAAGCCCATAATTGACTGCACACCTCTGCAGAGAGTTTTAAAATAAAAACTTGGTGTTTCTGTTGCGTAAAAATGCAATAGCTGCTCAATTCTTCTTTTATTAGAAGCTAAGGAAAAGCTTAAATAAACTTTTGCTTTACAGCCTTTAATCTTTGTCTTTAATTAACCTTGGAAGGTGGTTAAACACCTCGGTGTAGTTTTTGGGGTTGACAGTTGCTCATTTGTCAAAGGGTGAACATTAACAATCCCCATTAGATGTCAGGGCTTGGATGGGTGCAGAAAGATGTGTCTGTTCAATTCAGTTTAAAAAGCGAGGTATGTAAAGTGTTTATTGCACCCTGAAATTGAATTTTTGCATTACTGATGGTTTACTGAACTTACTTTTCACGCTGTGACTATGGTTATAATAAAAGTTCTAAATAAAACCTTTCAGTAAGTGTGTGTTTTTATACGTGGAGCACAGTTTTATTCTCTGAGCCCCTGGCCGTGTTGCAGCTCATGGAGCAGGGGGGAACATTTTACAAAATGATGAATATTTCCTGAGTAAAAATGAGATGTTGTTGGGAATGTATAGAAAGACAGACTAAATCTCTTCTGTTTCCAGCATACTGTCAGCTGGACTGAGTCATAAATTCTTCAGTCAACAGCAGTTCTGCGAGTGCCGGGAACAGAAATGTTAAAGTCTTGTACAGAGAGTAAAGAGCTGAGACTTGCAAGTGAACTGAAAGGACTATGATTCATTAAAATCTGAGAGAAGTAGAGGTCCACAGGTGAGAACAATATATTCTTGTCATGTGCCCTTTCAGCACAGCCCAGCCATTCATCATCCTGCTCCTTGCTGTAACCAATGCGTTACGAGCTGTGTTTTCCTTCTAGGCATCTTTTTCTTTTTTTTTTTTCTTTTTCTGTCCCCCACCCCAAAAAAGGCAATGGAATTTTGCTCAGATATTTGGTTCTACTCCCCTTGTTGAATCTTTCATAAATCTTTATCTGTTGGGTCAATTACAAGTCATTACTGAAATAATTCGTTATAGGCTCGGGCGAAGTTAATATTGTTAAATTATGAACAACTGTACCGTGTTTTCTTCCCTCAAGTTTTCCTTGGGGCTGGCAAAGTGTGTGAATGGGTTGCTGGGGCTGGGGGAGGAGCAGCACCAAAGGAAAGGGGACAGAACTGGCTGATGTCTCACTGAGCCAGAGGTTTGGGGTTTGTCTTCGTGGCTGGTGCAGCACAGTTGTTCAGCGAGAACTCAGGAGTGCAGTGTGTGACTTTACAGTACCTACACCTCTCCTATTTTTATTCTGTTTACACATAAAATAGAACAAAATCTTTTCCTGTCTCTTGTTGAAGTAGAAGATTCTCTTAAAGCAGAATTTATCGTGGATTTACAGGCACAGGGGAGTGGGGCTTCCCAGCCTTGCTGGCAGAAATTTTCCAAGTGCACACTTCACTAGACCTAATAGGGAGACAAACCCATGAGTCTTCTTAAAGACTGTCTTTTAATTAGCTTTGTAATGGATTTCCATTGACTTCCTCTGCATGAGAACTACTCCATTAGTTCATTACTATGATTTAAAAGCAGCTAATTACAATCATAGCTAAATAATTGTGTTCAGGTAATTCCAGCACATTTTGGTTCTCATACTAGCAGTTTCCAGGCAATGCATCTCACTTGTGTCTCGTTTATAGCCTTCTTACAAATGAAGTGATGGCAACTTAAATGTCTTTCTCTCTGTAAAACAAAAGGGAAAATCAATAATGTCATCTATAAAGAATGTGAATGTACCAGCATTGAAAATGATGTAATGAGAATGAAATTCCTTCTTGTCCTTTTCTGAATGAGACTATAATACTCTTTGATAACAGTTGGTGTCTTCAGAATTACTGGAAAGAAAAGCAGCAAACAAAAATACTTTTGTTTAGAATTTCAGCTCCCGAAGCCTGCAGGGTAGAGAACAGCAAACCAAGGCTAAATGACTCTATTTTCACATAATGCACCATAGATAAATCAAAAGTGTTTCAAAAGTGGAGCTGATAATGTTTTTTCTTGGTGTGATTGTTACTCAGAGTTAATAATAGATTATCCTGTTTGTAAAAGAAACGTGCTCACTGAGCAGGGACTCCTTTCCTTTCCTGTCTGGTGGAAAAGACAAGTTTGAGGTTGCAAGGAATGTATTTATTGGTGTGGGGAGTAAACTGATGCTTCATAGATGAGTTGTGAGAGCAGGAAAAAGGGTGTAATCTTAGTCATGGAAGAGCTGTTCCTGGAGCTTCCCTGCCCTTCTGTTCCTGTTCTTTTCCTCAGTGTGCACAGGTGCAGACTTGCTGCCTGAGGGTTGAGATTGGGGCTCTTAAACACGTTGGCACTAAGTTTGTGGAGCCTGCAGATTTTCTGAGAATCATTTCCTTGTGAGACTTTGTAGTTTCAAGATCTGGTTGGGTGGGGACTTGATGCCTGTTATTTGAGATTAATAAACCTCTCCCTGGTGTGTCTAAAGATGGTGTTATGAGGTGGATATTAAGTGCTGGTCATTAGGATATTGAGGATATTAGGATATTGAGTGCTGGGCCTGATGTATTTGAAGTGTGGAGTTCTTTATGACAGTAGCTGCGACAGTGATTTAAAATAGACTCGAGTCTATTTTGTGTTCTCTGTAATTTTGGTATGGGAGGTTTTCCAGCAGGAGTATGTGGTGAAATCTCAGAAGGCTTCACTTGGAAAAACCCAAACCTTTGCAAACTGTGATTTGGCTGAGTTTGTATCAAAACTGTGACATTAAATACACATTTATAGCACAAACATTTGTACTTATTGATCGACTTTGAGTCTTGGTGCTCCTGAAAAGTTTTCTGCGTGTGAACACAGCAGTGGAGTCAGGTAGGTTCATAAATCTAAACCAAACCACTTCTAGGTTGCAAATGTGTCTGCAGATGAATTTCCATTTGTGCAGAAATAACAGTTGCTGCAACTGGGCTGTATCAGAGTACAACGTGTGTCCTCACACTGCACTGCAAATCACTGAGGCTCTTGTACAAACTGTACAGATGACAGAGTGGGAGCAAAGGTTTATAAAGTGACTTGTCTCCTGAGCCACTAGAATTGGGCTGCACCTGCAGCCCCTTGCCCCTGCTGTCACCCCAAACTACCCTGGAATGCTTTGGTGCTCCAGTGGGAGTGTTGGACCTTCACCCTGCTCACCTCAGCCTTCGAAATTGTGATTTACGGGGTTTACTCTCTTCAGAAACTCTCACTAAAACACCAAAGGAGCAGCACAGGAGTGTGTGTTTTTTGAGAAGGACAAAATTACTATTATCAGCTGCACGTTCTCCCCAAGTTCATGTATTTACTGGGATGATTTCAGGTGAGGGATGAGTGGTTTAGCTCCCCTGCTTGGCAGCCTTCCTGACAGACTTTCAGCAAAGAACACTTGGGGGTTTTCCCCACAAAACCATGCTCCCACAAAGCTGGTAAATGAGAAAGCAAATACTACAGGGAGGAGGAGCTCAAGTATTCCACTGCAAGTGCTCTGGATAGTGGAAGAGTTGGTCTGAGTAGTGTGACAAACAAAAGGCTACAGCTGGTGTTAGAGTTTAAAATTCCGTGTTCATCTAAGTTAATCTTAATGAGTAGAAGCAGGATGGTTTGTGGTGTGTGCCCGTGAGTTTTCACCATCGTGGAGGAGGGATGAAAGTTCCTGACTGCTTCATGTGGGACATATACTGCAGTTTATTTGCACTGTGGTTTGCACAGACCTCTTTTTTAAAACACCAGACTGTAATGTTACAGAACACACCACATGTTTTTGTATCGCAATTGCAGTACAAACGTGCTCAACTTTCATTTTTAGTGTATCCATCTTCCTATGGTTGATGCTGTGATGTGCCTCCATTTTGTGAAAAACTCCTTTACCCCTTGTCACAGTGACATGAAGGATAATATCAATCAATATTTAAAAAAAAAAAGATTATTTTTTTCTGAAACTTGAATACATGACGTTCAACTCACTGATTTAATAGTGCTTACTTTCAGAGTAAAACTTGGTTTTGCTGTTTCTTTTCACTGTAGTTTATTAAAACACTGTATTTTCATACATTTAAATCCTTGTACACATTTTCTGATTTTACAGAACAAATTAAAGCCTGTTTTTTTATTACTGTACATCATTATTTATAGTTCTTTTTCTCACACTATAATCCCAGTGGGATTTTTTTCCCATGCCCTTCAGTGGCTTATGTAACAAGCACTAAATGAATGAATGCATTGCCCTTTGGTAGTAGATAATAATTAAGAAGGTGCCTCAGAATATTTCTGGAGTTGAATTTCAAAAAAATGTCTTAATTTTAGCACGCAGTTTTCTATTTTTTGATGAGCTATACGGCCCTGTTCTCCTTCCAACACTTTAAGAATGTGGTCTGCTAAGAACAGATGGTGTCATTTAAGTTTTATACTGATTCTACTTAAACTTTTAAATGAAGTCCTTATGCTTTTAAATGTTTAGTTAAGACTTACTGATTGTTAGCAAATTGAGAAAAGTTGGTCACAACTGATTACCTGTTTAGAGACTGAAAGGGGTAATTGTCTCAATTTTTAAACCTTTGTAGTCATTAACATCGTTAGTGGATTCCTGTCATCTTCCAAAGGAAACAGTGAAGCCAGTTCATAAGCTGGGAATCATAGGTAGACTTGGGCTTTTCCAAAAGCCAGGAAGTGGTAAAACATGCATGTGGTTTGCTTTAGTTGGGAAATTAAGTGGGATTCTCCGCCAGTGAGGCTGATACAAATGAGGAATCACTAATGTATGAGCTCTGCTGTGACACTGTCAAAACAGATTATTTGAAAGCACAGAAGTGATGTGTTTTTGTCAGCTGTTTCCCTCCCTTTTATGCAGCTACAGAAGCTGTTGTTTGTATAAACTGCCTTTCACATATTTCCCGGGTTTCAAAGTTACTAAAGTGTATTGTTCATAGTTTACATCACTATTTGCTTGGCAACTGCATTAATTCAGTGAGTTTAACTTTCATTTGGAGATCTATGAACGTTCTTCGTGAAAAACACCAACAACCACCAAACCCTCAGAAATCCTGACTGTGGAATGCTAGGTGAGGAATTGTCTGCTGAGAGGTGAATGAATAATCACAGCACAACACTCTGTGGTATCCGTGTGTTCCCAAAGGCAGTGCAGTGTGCACCCCGTTGCTTTCTCTGGGAGGTTGCTGATAGAAAATCTTGTGATGAAAAAGAAGGCTGAAAGCCAACAGTTGGTCCTGCCCTTCTAACACAGTATAGTAAGAGAGCTTTCCCCTTCAAAATTTAGCCATAATTAAGATATTGGAACTTCTGCTTTCCATGGCAGGCTGGGCAGAGGCAGGGCTTTGTATGTGTGTTCCCTGCCGTGAAAAGTCAGCCAGTGAAGAGGACTGGACCAAACCCATTGTCTGTGCAGTGGAAGGGATTATGGAGTCCTCACATGATAATTTTTGCTGTCAGGGCTCTAATCTCTGGCAGGGGAAAAGGACAGTCTATTTAACTGCTGCAAATAATTCCCAAAGGGATCAGGTGCTCAGTCGTTTCCATCATCATGAATTTGTATTTCAGCTTCTTTCCTAACTCCTAGAACTGCAGAGGAATTTAGGGGTAGCCTAAAAATTTCCTGACCTGACTGTCAGCATGGCCCCGTGTGCCCCTAATGAGAGGCTGCTGCC